AGTGCTCCATGGTCTTCAAACTGGTATGGGACCTGGCGTCACTGTGATGCAAGAGGAAGGTTGTCTTCCTCTTTGGCCTGACTCTAAGTTCAAGCCTTCAGCTTAGTCAGCATTGCAGTATAGCATTCAGAGTTGATTTGTTCAAGTTTGTTCAAGTTCCAGGAAATTCAGAAGGATCATCCTTTCCTATCCCAAAAGACAGTGCACATCACTTTACCTGCTAAGGGCTGCATCTTGGAACTTGTTGTTTGATGGGGAATTCATATGTTGCCACTCCATGAACTGTTTTGACTCTGACTCACAGTGTCACAGTGGTGACACCATGTCTCATCACCAGTAGTGATGTGATCCAGGAAACTGTCACCAACAGCCTCATATTGTTCAGTAGGTCCTGACAAACATGCATGTGATGCTTTTTCTCTTCCTAGCGTTCATGGAACCCATCTGGAAGAAACTTTCTGGTATTCCAACATTGCCACCATTGTTTCCAACACACTGAAGTTGATATTCAGCTCCATACACAATTCCCTGGTTGTGATCCACTGATTCACGTTGTTGAGCTAATTGAGACTCTCTTCATTTTGTGGTGTGAGATCTGTGTGTGGTTATCTGGAACATGTCTTGTCTTTCATGTCACAGTTGCCACTGCTGTACCACCCACTGCCTTGCTGTGCTCACATCCACTGTTTGATCTTCATAAATGCTCAGCAAGCATCAATAAATGTCAATAGGTGCCATTTTTTTCTGCACGGAGGAATTCAGTGACACGCCTTTTCTTCATAAGCACTTCCATGCCAGACATCTTTTTGTTAGACTATCTCTATGCTGCCATCCATCTCACAGTGACAAAATCTAACAGAATAGTGGCAGGAAGGTTCAACCTCTACTGCCATACCACCTCCATCTGCCTCTAACATTGTGGGCCAACATAATAAAATGTGAGGCATTACTTTCAGAGTAGACCCTGTATATATATTTTTTAAAAACATAATTTCTCCCAGAGCAGGCAAATTAAAAGGCTGAAATGTTTTCTCAGACCACAACTGCACTTCACAGCAAGTTGTGATGGAGTTCTCCTCCCAGATGGTATTGACCAAAACTAATAAGCCTTAAATGGTGTAATACAGCATTCCAAGGATCCAGCAATTCACATCAGTAGGAATGCAGCAATGGAAAAAACACGACTCAGGCAGACTGAGTTTTTTCCAAATCTTCACTTGCTCATCTGCAGCCTTTTGAACATCACCAAACAAGTCTCCACATTACTCTGATCAAGAATGCACACTGATTCCATCCCTCAGAATTACACAGCAAAATCTTGTTCAGATTTCTACAGTAGAATATGTTAGCACAATTAAGAAAAGAAATCCAGTGACACTGGCAATGAACTGATTGGCAACAAGCGGAGTTTCACAAGAGGCATAAATGGACACAAGAGAAAAACTTACATACACAAAAAAGTGACACAACACAAAAAAGTGACACAACAGCACTGTATGGTGCAAATATTGCTAACTTAGGCATACTTGAATAATCAGTGTGCCTCTTAGTGACTTAAAACATTTGGAGAATGTCTTATTGCATGGAATTACCCAACATAAGAGAACACACTGAAAAATAATAAAGTACATTAAATGGTCAGGGTCATCAACCTCTAAAGAGGGTCAAAAAGCATGTATATTATGTATTAGGAACACAGTGAAAACTAAAGCATAATGAAATCTGAAAAACTGAAAATCTGACACTGTGGAAAGTTAACTGCAAGAATGGAATGGAAAAACTTCTCAGGAAGAGCAGTGCTGCAGTGGCACAGGCTGCCCAGGGAGGTGGTGGAGTCACCGTCCCTGGAGGTGTTCCAGAACCGTGTGGATGTGGCGCTGAGGAATGTGGTCAGTGGGCATGGTGGGGATGGGCTGGCGGTTGGACTAGGTATCTTAGTGGTCTTTTCCAACCTTAATGATTTTGTCATTATCATGTCTCTAATTGGACTGGCTGGCAGAAGCGTTCCCTATCACAGAACACCTTCCCGCTGTTGCCATCCCTGTGGCAGAGCCCCAGTTCCCCATCTCACCTCCAGAGCTCTCTTGTAGTCACCCAGATGGAAGGCAGAGTACCCGATCCAGAGCTCAGCATCCTCCTGCTGCTCACCCGCGTGTCGCTGAAACTTCGGAGGGAAGAGCGAATGTGAGACCGCTGTCAGCAGTCACGCACAGTTTATAAACACCAGTAAAGCAACACCATGCCCATTAATACCGCGGGCAGTCTGACGGCTGTGGATGCCGTTGGGTGAAGCCGCTCTCGGTTTCCAGGGAAGCAGCAGGCCCCGGCCCGCTCCCGTTACCTCCAGCAAGGCGATGGCGCCGGTGAAGTCCCTCCCGGCCAGCAGCTCCTCCAGCTGGGGCACCTTCTTCCCTTTCCTCCTCCGTCTGTCTCCCTGCGGCGGGGTGCTTCCCACAGCCGGCTTGGCCCGGGAGAGCATCTGGGCAGAGAGCAGAGTGGAGCCGGCTCAGAGCGGGGCCCCGCAGCGGGGCCGCTCCACCCGGAGCGGGAGGCAGCGGGGGGAGCGGGAAAGGAGCGCCTGCTCGACCCGCGGCCCGCGCCCCCCGCCCGGCCCCTCTCACCATCCTGCCGCCGGGCCCGCGCTCCCCGCGCCGCCGATGGCGCCGTTGCCGCGGTAACCGTGGGACGGCGGAAGAAGGCGCGGAGCCCAGCGATGCGGCCAATAGGCGCCGCGCGGAGACGGGCGCCGTCCCCCGGAAGGGCTGAGCCTTGGCTCCGCTGAGCACCCGTGGGCTCCAATCATCGCACGCGAGAGGAGGCGCTTTTGGAGTGTCCCTTGGTTGTCCAGCTCTTGGTTGTTCCCGCGGCCTGACTGGCGAGGTGCGGGGCGCGGCCAGAGAAGTGCGCTGGCCTTCTGGTTCCCATATTGGTTTCTCACCAAATCACTTTGATTCCTACCTTTTTCCCACCGCTGGTCCTTCTCCACAACATCCCATAATGCATGAGTGTCCAACCTTTTGGCTCGCCTGGGCCACAGTGAGTGAAGAGTTGCTTTGGGCCATATGTGTGGATGGCATGCAGCTGTTTCCTTGCTGCTGAGCAATAGGTGCGCACCCACACGCAGCCCACGGGTTGGGCATGCCTGCCATAACAACTCTTGTGCAATCCCCACATGTTCTTCCACGACATCTCATGATGAGTTTCATATGCTTGTAGTCCGTAGGTGCTCCAGAGAACTTCTCCCATGGATCTGGATGGGCTCTCTTGATGACTCTCTTAGGGCAGCCTGGGAGGAGCTATGTTAAGGTGGTGGGTTATTGGGGTTGTTCACTGGTTCGTCTGTGCTGCTTTGGTTTCGTGCTGATGAACCTTTCATCACATAACCTTACACCAGCCTTTCCCCAATGGTGGTGCGAGAGGCTGATGTCTGCTTCTCTGTGATGCTCGTATGAGGGCTGATCCAAAAGTGACGCTTCCTATTTTATTATGTTGACCCATGACATCAGTGGCAAATGATCATGGTATGGCAATAGAGGCTGAACCTTCCCACCACAATTCCACTGCATTTTGTTGCCGTGCGATGAAAGACAGTAGAGGTGCAGTCTGACAAAATGGTGTCTGACGTGGAAGCATTTATGAAGCAAAGGTGTGTTACTGAATTCCCCCACACAGAAAAAATGGCACTTACTGATATTTATCAATGAATGCTGAACATTTATGGAGACCAAACAGTGCAAGTGAGCATAGCAAGGCAGAGAGTGGTGCATTTCATCAGCAATATGAAAGACAAGCCAAGTTTGGATGGACATGCAGATTTTTATGACCACAGCATAGAGGCTCTTGTTCATCTCTGGTGAAAGTGCATTTACACAATGCATGCAGCATGGGCAACAAACAGGAGGAGCTAGAAGCCATGGTGTGACCGGAGTACTGTGACTTTGTCATCATTACTGAAAAGATTCTCATGACTGGAGTGCTACAATGGATGGCTCTTTAGGAGATATAGGTAAGGAGGGAAAGGTGGTGGGATGACTCTCTATGTGTTTTGATGTTGTAGATCTCAATGCTGGGAATGATAATATTGAGTACTTATGGGTGAGGATCAGAGGGAAGGCCAACAAGGCTGGCATCCTGGTGGAAGTCTGTTACAGACCTCCCAACCAGGATGAAGAGACAGATGAAGCATCCTATAAGCAGCTGTCCAAAGAAGGACTTCAAAGCAGGTGAAGAATCTGGATCACATGTCTTAAAAGGAGCGGCTGAGGGAACTGGGATTGTGCAGTCTGGAGAAGAGGAGGCTCAGGGAAGACCTTAGCACTCCCTACAGTGAAGGAGGTTGTTACAAGGTGGGGTTGGCCTATTATCCCAGGTAACTAGCAATAGGCAAGAGATATTGATTTAAAGTTGCACCGGGAAGGTTCAGGTTGGATAATTGGAAAAATTTGTTGTCAGAAAGAGTGATGATGCATTTCCCAGGGAGCTGGTGGAATCACTATCCCTGGAGGTGTTTCAGAACTATGTGGATGTGGTTTAGTGGGTATGGTGGGGATAGGTTGATGGTTGAACTGGATGATGGGCTCTTATCCAACCTTAAGAACTTATGATTCTATGGCAGTGACTATGTTGAAAAATAGGGTTGTAGCTGAGAATTTGCTCTATCAAATAGTGTCATTGTGCTCTTTATATCTGTTGTAGCTTCCGTGCAAATAAATAGAAGGCCTTACTTTCAAAGCAACCTATGTAGATAGGAAAGGATGAAGGAATCAGAAAAAGATACTTTTCTGTTGCTAAAATTCTCCCACCTGATCACTTTCACCAGTCAGGGAGACACTGAGCAACACTGGTGTCCCAAGGTGGGACACCAGCATAGATGGAGCTTTGGACTCACCCAGAAGGTCTTTTCATGTCCTCCAGTCAGTAATCACTCTTTGCTGGATTGCTGCTTGTAGTGTACTGCTGTTAGGATGCTGCATAGTCAGCAGATGATACTGCGTATGTGTTTATAGTTTCCTGGTAAACATAGCCACTCCATCTATATTACTCTAAACACAAACATGAAGAGTATAATATTAAATGTTAGATAAGCATGTTGTGTACATTTTAACAGCATACAATAGCCCATCCCTCTGGCAAATCCTGGGTAATTTTCAAGTACAGTTGTGACCTTGTTTCTTGTAGCAACTCTGACATTGCAGTTTGCTGCAAAGAGAACAAATCCCTTCTACTTAGAGAAGAACTCCACACAATAGAATTTCCAAAGCATTAATTTTTATGCTGTCTTAATTGCACCACTAGCAATTCCAGTAAGGAGAAGCAATACATTACTCTAATGTTGACAACTACCCTGAAAACACCTGTCCATGGGAGATTTAATGAAGCACCTGTACTCTTGGCATTTCTGTTTCCTTGAGAATAAAAAATATTTTGCATTTCCTCAGGTAGAGAGAGGGCTTTTGTTGCCATTTGTTTGTTTTGTTACAAATAAATAGGCCTGTTTGTAACATTATTCAGCAATAAAGAATAAACTGCTCAGTTCCTCAGAGGATGCAACCCATGTTCACATTCTCCTGGTCACATCAAGCCAGCTTGGCCCTGGAACAACACAGAGTGTTGCAGGTGTCCCTGAGAGGTTACACTGCAACCAGGAACCTTGGGAGCACAACAGAACTGTGACAATGTGCCTTGTTTATGAATGTGCTTTCATACAATAGTCTATAAAGAAAGGGAAGTAATCTACACTCCAATAGAGGATTTATCTCCAAGCAATTAATTTCAAGTTAGTCAAGTGATAAGGAGTGTGTGCCAGCGATTTGGCCTCCTTTACCAGCTCCTCCCTTCCTCCCTCCCTCCCTTCCTCCCTTCCTTCCTCTCTCTCTTTCTCTCTTTCTCTCTCTTTCTTTCAGTAAGCCTTTACGTTTGTTAGGAGAAAATTCATTTTCTATAAATAGATACAAAAGTATTTGTCTCTTCAGCGTTTGGATTTTGTCTTTTTTTAATGTTGTTCAGTTTTGATATATAACCTAATACAATACACGTATCTGTTCTCTTATCAGTTGTGTAGGAGTTTCTGTTATGGAACAGAAAATAATTGTTCTGCAGGCCAGAAAGCTTAGCATGTGTAAGAGCCTCCTTATCAAAACCCTATGAAATCACAAAAACCATATAGATTGACAGCAGTACTGTAAGATTCCTTCTTCCTCTTGGATCTGAAATGATGCTTCAGAAGTGCTTCATTCCTAACTAAAAGAAAATAATAACTTTTGTGAATACCTCACTGCACCTTTCAGTACCGCCATGGAATATTCTGACTCTGCACAGACAGCTAGGAGAAATTAAGATTTAAGGTTTTAAGGGCTTTATAGCATACAGATGCCTAAGAAAACTGATTGAAGAAACAGAAGAAGTGGAAATGTCACTGCAGGAGGAATTTTATGTGAAATGCAAAATCAGATCGGAGACCTTCTAACCTTAACTGTGCTTTAGTTAAGGCAGTTCTTAGCCTATACACATACCTTGTTTACTTTTGTTGCCTCAAAAAAAAAAAAAAAAAAAAAGTGTATTCCACATTGGTGAACTCCAGCTGAACTTCAACTTACCTGCAACTTTAAAAGGTAAACTTTTTTTTTTCTAATTGAACATAATGGTCTGTTTATCAGTTAGAAAAGTGGAGACATTTATACATACAGTAGAATGTAGGTTACATTTAATAGCACAGATCATTCTTAGCTGCTTCAGCATGACTCAGACATGGTTTTTCTGGAGTGTTCTCGGCAGGTGAAGCTGTGACTCTGTCAGATCATTCTCTCATATGTGAGGTCTACGCAGTGCATGACTTCACATCCAGCCTTGCTGACTTACACAATGAGGTGTATACGGAAGATGATAGCCAAATCGCTGCTGATTTTCCAGTCTAATCATAACCAGCTGTCAATCAGAGTAACAGACTTTGATATCAGAAGGATTCCTGGTTTGAACTGCACATTTCTACAGGTAGGCTATGGGTTGAACACATAAAAATCGAATTATCCCCTAACTTCTCGAGATGCTATCTGTACATAACATGTGAGCAACAGAAATAGGGAGTGAAATGCTAGAATTTGGCATTGTGACATTTGGTGTGGGCTCTCTGCATATGGGAGCGGTCTAAAACCTGTTCAAAGCAGTCTAAGTCTCTATATAAATTTAGTAAATTGTGGAGGAGGACTGATGTAATTTAGTCCTGTATTCTCACCAGCACCAAACTGACCTACATCTTTCTAGAAAGTCTGGTGTAGATATTACTGTGAAGGTGCAGATCAAAGTGAGTAGAGAGTTTATGATCTTTTCCTCATAGGAAATGCCAAAATGACACTTTATAATTTCAAAGCTAAGTTGAGAAGTTCAGCTACTCTATTAACAACGCCGGAAAACTGCTGCAATTATTACCATCACCATTCTATTAGCTAGGGACATTATCTTGGAGACTGTGAGTTGCAGGATGATTAATGACCATGTTTATTCCCACACAGAGAGGGAATTGGCCTATACTGACAGCAGCAAAAAGGAAGTCATACATCTGTGACTAAACACCAAGATAAGCATGAGAGACTGTAATGGCTTTAAATAAAAGAAATTCAGAGAGTAGAAAGTGTGGTTTAAGGAAAGAAGAGGAAGGAGGGAAGGAAAGCTAAAATGGGCAGAAAGGAAATACAAGAAATGGGAAAAAATCATATAAACTAAGCAAGAGGCTGTAAAGTGATCTTTTCTCTAGTAACAATCACGTTTCAGTTTCCACAATGTCTGGCTAAAATCATGATTTTTCAATAATGATGTGTCACAATGTTCTGCCTCTTGTACCACTGAAGGTGCATCTGACAGCCTCACAGGAGAAGTGATTTGCAGAAGTGAAAGAAATGAAATATTCCCCTGCTGAAACTACAAAGGCAAATCCTTGATATGAGTAAATGGGAAATGATTCCCATAAAGCAAAGATCTTGAAGAATATTTGCTTCTTTTTTTTAAATGGAGTCAGCTACATCTGAGCCTTAATCTGCTCTGTGTAGACTGCCAATGATGAAAGAAGGTGAAAACATCTAAGCTGATAGCAAAGACCAGTCTGCAGAGAGGTGACATCATATCAGTTGTATTGGTCCAGGACTTGGGCTGAAATATCTGCACAATATTCCACTGCCAAATGGATTTGTAAGCATGCACTTATATTGAAGATCTCATAACTGTATCCCATCACACACTGTAGACCTGGTTAACATTTAAAAGAAGAAAAGGACTTGAGGAGACTGAAGTACATGTCCAAGACACAAATTATTACACGAGCCTCTTACTTTGTCAGGTAAAACAGGACAGATGTGTGCACTTTACAGATAGCTCCCATTTGTCTATTGACCGAGCTGTATTCTGCTGAGTCTGAAACAGTGTCTGACTCTTATAATAAACTATGTCCTGTCTGTCTGGAAACAAAATTCTGCATTGAGGGTCAGCTCTGTGGTTCCATTTGGTTGCCTACTCCAGTACAGTGAATATTAGGATATTAGAAAATTGTTTGATTCTGTTGAACTGTAGATTTTAAATCTGTCCTCCATCTCATTGCTGCATTTTCGAGGCTTCAGCTAGCATGGTAAAATGGTCCCAGGCAGAAGCCTTGATGCCAAGAGCTGCCTTTAGCTGCATTGATGTTCTTGTACTTGCCTTCCTCGCCAAGCTATCATCTCTGTGTTGCTCATCACCCTCCATTATGCTAAGGTTAGCTGATGAAACCTTATATCCTATATCAAAGACACTGTAATCCATAATCACCACCCTGACTGCAGGATAGGAGCCTGAAGCCTCTCTGAAACAGTTTTGTTAAACTTAATACTTACTACTATATATTTTTTTAACTTCACATGAAACAACCAATTCACCTTATTAACTTACTGCCCCTACAACTGCAGTAAATACAGAATAGCTTTCCAAGTGCCATCTACCAATGTTTTTTAAGGCTCAGGTCTACTGTCAAGTCAAAGTCAAGTTGAACTTTTCACAAGGAGCACCATTCTTTTATGGGTAGTGGGAAATTCCCTCAGCCTGTCTTTATCTGACAGGGTTTGGTCTCTGAATGAGTCAGCAGAGATCCTTTGTTTTCTGCTTTCAAATAAAAGCATGCTTTCTCTGTGTTTAATGTGTTTGATGTCTTATATTAGCTGATATCACAGAACATTTTCCTCTGCCTGATACCAAAACTGAATACCAAAACTTAGAGGTTGTCCTCTTGAGTTAACGCTAGTTGTAGCTGTATCTCTGCACAAGATCTGATTTTTCTTCTCCCTTGCTATTGATTGGAATAATTCAGATTTGAAGCTACAAAAGTCTGATTCACTTGGGCCTTGTACTCACCATACAGACATGGTCAGTCCTGTAGAGAAAGAGTATAAAACCAGAAGTTGAGAGGGAAGACTTCTTACTATTTGTTTAAGTAGCAGACAAGTCACGTGGCTGAATAATATTCATTTCAAACTGTATGAATTGGGAAAGGGTTAAAAGGAAGAACCTTTCTTCAGTGGAGCTACATGTTTATGATCCGTCACACATTTAGCTTCATATTCTGGTATGCGGTGACACAGAGCAATGGGAAAATGGGGCCACCACCCAAAGTCCTGTAATGCCAGTTACAACTGTTGTTATTCTTGTCTGTAGATTTCCCCTAACTGGTTTGTTAATTTCTGACAAGAACAACAGTGCTTTGCAGCTGGAGTGTAATTCCACTCTAATCTATAGCAACAGCTATGAACTCCAAGGACAGAATGATAAGCTTGTGATAAACCATGGAAATGGCAATATGATAAGGACTTCTACTTTATCAAGATTTGTTGTAGATCAGGATCATGCTGATCTACCAGGATAACGCAACATGTGACCCACATATTTGCTGTATATCAGGAGGTAGCTTCAGTCCCAAAGAGTAATATTTCTGTTTTTTTTTTTTTTAAGATGTTCTTTGTGGACAACAAGAAAAAAAAAATCATTCCAGTAAGTCAGTACAGCTGCTCTACAGCTATGTTTCTCA